TATATATATATAAATATATATATATATATATAAACATAAGAGGATGGTGATGGTCAAAAATGTGGCCTGCCAACTGATAAATGGCTAGCTTGACGTCATTTTCTCACTAACCTGGCTTTGTCGAGGTACAGAGGGCGAGAGTTATCTGTTTGGCAGTACTACATATTAGTGTGCCGGGCCATCAGTAGGTGCTGTGAAGTGGTCTAGCGTACAGAATGATGCGGAATTTAACAATTATTCCGTGTATCCCAGGACGACACATCTTGTCCGCAAAACATTCACTTTCAAAGTAATTTGATTTTAACGGGAAGCTCAGTTGAATCTTAACAGAATCCTCGCTAACGATATTGTTCACTACTCATTAGGTTGCTGAGAACCGTTCAACAGCTTATAAACGGCCTAACCCTTGTTAGGGCTTATCAGGTAGGGGCAATGATGTAATCTCCGTCAACATTGTGTTCTACCTGAACCCAGACTGGACGCCATTCGCGAAACACAATCATTTGCAATTAATTTAATTTTAACAGGAATTTCAGCTGAATCCCAAATTAATGCACGCTTTATGATATCCTTCAAGTGAATGTACTGCACGACGAAGATACACGATCGGATGTCAAAAGCGTCTCAAAGCGTCCCTTTTCACAATTTACTTCCCTCGGCTCGAGTGACCATCTTTTAAAGTCCTCTCTGACCAAAAAACATCAACGAGGGATGCTAAAGTTTCCCCTCTACAGTAGGCGCGTCATCTTGAGACGACCAACAATTTTTGCACGTGTAGGCCTTTTGACCCTACGCAAGAACTTTAGTATTTTCTATTGTTTTCAAAAAAGATGACATGATGTACTGAAACCAGACACTCCAACCGCAGTTTATGCTCAAATTTTTTTTAAAAACTTCAAAATAAGGACCTGGAACGTACTAGAGTATTAGCAATCGGTGTCCGCATGATTTTGTCGAATACTGTCCTCTGGGTCAAATTAATGGCTTTGTACTTGTTCGGCAGACTCAAGTAAGAATCAAAACAACACTGGGAGTTCAACACATGATGAACTGTAGTGCATTACTTCATCATACTGTGCTACTTCGGGAACTTCAATACATATCACAAATGTGTTGCACGTTTCACAAGGCTAATCTATCAGACTATAGGTCAAGTTAAATCAAGTTGTGCCCACAAGGGCCGATGGCAACTGGATAATGCGCTAGTTACTGGCCTTTTTCTCCTGCAGTCGATTCGAGACTCAAAACAACTGACTGGGGGCAGTGACTTGTCCTCTTGAGGGATAAATTCCTTACTTCTGCAGCATAGATTATCTTATGCACGAAGATGCGGAGTTTGGTCCGTTGAATGAGAGTCGGAATGAAAAAAACCATGACCCATAAATGTCTTCAATGGGAGCGATTCCTTTCAATCTACTGCCTCATGGCTGAGCTAGTCTATCAGAGTTAGGCCGTCGACAGACGTGAGGAGTTGAAACGTGACAGGCCTTGAACTAATAAACGTCTAACGTTAAGTTCCGATGACCAAAGTGATTCTGATAAACTAGAAGCTAGTCACTTAGTATACATAAGCAGTATTCAGTCCCGTTTCGTCAATTGCCTTTTAGTATTCATTATAAGAGTACTTGAACTCCTACGTTTAACCATTTTGATGTGCACTCGAAACAATGCATAGTTCGCTGCGATGTCTGTAGGAGCTAGATGGGGTGTGGAAAAGCACTAAACCTTGTATTCTTGTGTCGGTAGGGAATATTATCTCTGTATGTTTTAGACTTGTCCCAGACGAAAAAAGTTTCTTGCAACAAACCTAATTATCGTCCGGTAAATCGATTATAGCATGGTGACCTCTCCGGGTATCTAGTGGATCACATTGTGTTATTTTTAGCTTCAACTCAAGTAAGGCGACGTGATGCACCAGATAGTGATTTCAGAGCTGTCTTGATAATTAATCCTTGCCGTGAAGTTATTTTCACGCATATGTTGAAGCATTCCTGTCGCCTCATTGAGAAGACTAGCTGACGAATGAAATGTTTTCGCGACTCCATCTTCAGGTCAGTGCGTCTCTGATTTAACAAAAATAGTGAGTTACAAACCGCGTACTGAGAACTCAATCGCAGTGACTCGAACGGACAACCAGCTGATCGATATACTTGAGCGGTCAGTTGAGTGGGTAAGAAGACGCTACCTTGACTTATGGGGACGTCACATGGTTTGCCACAAGGCCAATTATGTGTGAAGCGCAACTGATGGCAGCCAGATTTCGTGGGTGGGCATACCTGCTTCAGTCGTTTCCATGACAAACCCCTGGATCAATCACTGCAGCCTGTGCGGAAAGCTGTGGTGATGCAAAACGTTCGGTAGGGCAGTCTGGGTAGACTAAGTGTGAGAGGATGTTAGGGTTTACAGTGGACTTCCTAAAGGTGTTTCCACAACTAGTGGGCCAGGAATGTTATCTCATCACTTTTTTTTATCAACACCATCAGAGAATGCACTTTTCCGTATACCATAAATCCGTACGTCAAAATCACATCTGGAGAAAAATTGGTAGACTTATGTCATTCAGTTGACACTGCTCTGTTATTTGACGACCATGCATCGGCTCAAACTACCTTAAATTGAATATCAGAAGCGGTCTCTCGTCTAACCACGGAGCTTGCTCCGCCCAAGTGCCGTCTACCCCTCTGAAACCTCAGAGGTTTGCTAACAGCTGCACTGTGCCAGACAGAGTCAGTGCAGACATCACCAGCAACATTTGCCAACTTGCGTCACCTTTGGCGTCAGAAACGAATATCAGAAGCCAAAGGGCCGAGTCTACCAAAAGACAGCGAGAGTAGTCTTCCTCTGTGGCTGTGAGAAATGGCCCCTACGATCTGAAGACCTTGATCGGCTTCAGTTATTCGATTGCCACTACCTCCGTATCACAGGAGGCGCTAACTAGCTGCAGTATGTACGTCATGAAACAGTCCGCCCTACGTAACGAGTAGCACCCACTAGGGCAGCAGCTAAGAATTATAAGTTTAAGTTACCTGGGACACATACTACCTGTGCCCAACCACCAAGAAAACCGTTTCTCAATCCAAACCCGTGTTGCCAACAAGTTCACGGAAAAGAGGCCATGACATGGTGAAGCGAAAGTGGACGCTGTCAAACTGAACGTTGTGGAATCTTGGCGCCCTCATGTGTGGGGGCTAAGTGATTCTCCTTGTGTGTTCGGGAATCTCACAGGCCATGGCACGCAGCCGACCCTAGTAGCGAGCTTACTGTCACTTCTTAGCGGGAAAGCCAAGCCAACGCTTACCTGCCGTTGCATACTTGGCTTGAGTTGGGTGAGGCCCACAGGACGTTGGATCTATCCCGCTGATGGTATATTATCCCAACATGTTGCTCAGATGTACTTAGTTCAGTGGTTTTGAAAAGTGTGGGTATCTAGCTATTCGACGTTTCCTCTAGATATATGGCATTTGTGGAACAAGTCCCCACCCCCCTTGCTTCAGTCCCCCCTTCACTAAGTCCTCCCTCCGCCACTATGTGGTCGTTAGGCACCAGTTTTCACTACTGGTGTATTGCTGATGATTAACCTCCAGATAACGTACGGTCAACAGTACGGCAGTGAGGCTTTGGTGTTGAACACTGATGTCATGCTGTCGATGATGATGATGGTCAACCCAATCAATTTCACTCAGTCCCAGTTGAACATGCTCGAAGCAACCTAACCAGCAAAAAGTCATTCGTGAAGTTTATTGAAATTGGTTCGATTGTCACAACAATAAGTTCCGCTGTAAATATAGTTCTTGCCAACTGGAGCATAGGTCTGGCAGTGAAGAAACAAACTAAACGGAACCAGCCGAGCTGGCTGTAGACGAAGCTGATTACGACAACGTTGAGTATTCACGAGATAAACACACGTAAAGGTTGTGAAGCTGTACAAGAGGTTCAAGTAGCTGTTAATTTGTAGAAAAAATGGGGCGGAGTTGACAACAGCAAGCAGTGTGTGTGTGTGAAGCCAAATCAGCCCAGTAAAGTAAACAAGACGCTGGGGCATCAGATTCACCTGCTGGGGCTCATGAAATGGAGAGGTTTTTGTTCACATTTTATGTCAAATCCACTGGTATGTAAATCATGATAGACAAAACCAACTGTACAGATTCGACGACATGCGGAAAATGGTCAAAACAGGTAACTAACGGTTCGAAATGCAAGTAGTAGTCATGAGATCAACCCGGCAGGAACGCATCATCAGCGAGGAACAAAGATTGTGATTCTCTATTAGAGGGTTCGTTTCGTACATAGTTGTGTGACCGGAGGAACATAAGTTGAATAGGGTTGTTCTGTGGCAATGATGCGGGAGGGATGGTCATATAGGTAGTTTTTCGTGATGCGCATAGTAATAGAAATGGAAAAGATAGAGAAACCGGTGACGGGAATTGACAACGAATGAAAAATAGTCGCTGGGTATGGCTCGATGAAGAGCAGTTAGTAAGCGATTTCGTAAACTGTAGCTTTTCGGTCACCTGACCCGCTGACTAGAAACTTGTCGTCTAGGGAAATGTCGCAGCTCAACACCGAGGAATTTTCCTTCAGCTGAAAATATAGAGTAGAAATGTGTAAGAAGTTAAGATGAAAAGAGAAGATATCCTATGGACAAAACGCACTAGTTGTTTGTAAATGAGTGCACTGCATCCTAAAATAACGGAGGGAAGACGGCTTAATCAAGTGGAACTTTAAGTCTCATTCAACAATTTAATGCTCCGCTCTTTGTGTAATGAGACCTCCTCCCGATGAGAGTTGAACGAAGACGTACTCTTATATCCAGAGCCTGGTTCGTCATATCATTCCCTAAACTACGGCTTCGAAAGCGCAAATTGGTAACATACAGCTTGGCGACTATCAGAATTCTGAATAAAGTTAGGACAAGGAATTTTAACTCTGGAGTCCGTTTAGCCCATGAACCGAAGTGAAGTTGAGGGCATAGGATCCACAAGTTTTGGTTTGTGTCCGAGAGCTATCTGCCCAACATCACAACTACCCGGACATCCTACTTTTTGTGTGTGGAAAGTGGCAACTGATGTAAACATCTTTACTAGCTGAACCATGCTAACACAAGGTATCAGTAGAAAAGTAAATCTCAAAAGATCACTACGAACAACGAGGACTCATGACAAAGGTGAAGAGACGGTTGCGGTAAGATTATTGAGCCATCATCTACTTCTGAAATGGACACTACGGAAGTGACTGAGACGGTTAGTATAACAAGAAAAATGGTTGGATTTGAAGCAGGGTACACATGTGGCGCAGAATCTAATACGATAACCTCCCATAAGAGTTTACCAGCGAAAACTAGATCTACCCTAGGAACGAATCAGACGTGAATCAGATCATTATTTTCGACTGCCGGGGAACAGTGTTTTCAGACCACAAAGAGAGAGTAAGCTTGACAGGCGAATGATTCTGAATGTCTCGAATTTCCCATTTTCTTAAGAAAAACGGGATTATACAGCAAATTTAACTTAAACAAACCATATTGAGTGATAGGTAGCCGGAATAATGACAAGTATAGATCCTAGCTTTCAGAATTTGCTTTATTCGGGTACTGGGTGACGGTGTTCCTGGAAAGTTTCACTCTTCAGGCGAAATTCGCATCAATACGGACGAATAAATCCCAAGTGGTTGGATGGCCTTGAAATTTGTTTGATTTGCTGAAGCAATCCTCACCACATCTCCACTTTTCCTCAGGTCGGCACATGACCTATTCAGCTTCCAGTCAAGCATACAGGATAAATGAAACTCGTTGCACCATCGTCTTAGTTACAACGCCCAAAAATTAGGTCATAAAATTTTAGCACAGTCATTTTTTCTTACGATTGGTCGCCTCTCATGCAATCGAGGAAACTAGATTATCTGATTACAGTTTGCGTCAGTACGTCGTCTAGCAACGAGCTTTTACACTGGCACAATGATCAGTACATTTATCTTAAACGGAAAAAAACAAGGTAGTCAGGTTGTGCAATAGGCCCCATCGCGTGATTATCCGGGTAAATCAATAGGGTGAGGGCAGTTAGTGGGAGTTGCACGTGCATAAGATCTCACAACACCCCATTCTTCTGACGAATCACTTATTTGGTAATGAAACGTAGCTCTGTTTACGGATTTCGTAAGCGCTGGCTTTCTGACCAGACCGAAAGTCAGTCGCTCCATCGAAGCAAGCGCGGCATATAAGATTGGGAATGTTCGAGCTACTCATCAGTAGCCAAAACATTTCACGCCAGGCAGTGCTACCAGAACGCAGACCTCGGTCATTGTCGCAGAGCAGTGAACCTCGTTTCCTAGACGAAACCGGTGAATGAATGGACCAACTGGAGGAATTTTTCTTGAAGAAAACGGTAAAATCCGACCGAATGGCTAAGGTGTAACATGTGAGAATACATTTTTTGTGTCTCAAAAGTAAAAAACGCAATGGGAGGGAATGCAGTGTGAACGCTAACCTGGAACAGATTGGCTCCGTACGGCGTCCGCCACGCGTATAAGCAATGATCTTTACCAGTCGAAGCAAACCACAGCCCACTGTGAGCGAATTTCAGCGATAAGACTGAGCTCTCGTGTAGAGTAAGCTGATACTTTTCTGGATGGTTGGGACTAAATACTTCCACTTGATCCGTCTCCAGTCCTACGGCAAGCCAATCTCCAGACGGTGAAAAGCCCAACGAAAAGACCTGCCCACTGAATTCGAACTGATTTGTTTGGCAGTGCTCACGTAGGTCCCAACATCGAACAGTTTTGTCCAAACCACCAGTCCATAACTTGGTTCCATCAGACCGGATATCCACACAAGAGGCCCCTTCCGAATGCCCCTGATACTGACGTATGAGCGTTCGGTTATGGATATCCCAGACACCGATATTACCGTTGGAGCAGCAACTGATGGGGAAAAGTAAGTAGCAATGTATCAACCGAAAGATCTGACGAAATGGAACTCAGCAATAGGCTACAGACGGAGTCGTTAATCCTCGACAGAAATAGACCCTCCCTTATGAGAAACCTTAGGCACTTTGCAGTCAGTTGCATGCAGTGAGCAAAGATATGGATAGGCTTGAATAAACCATCTAAAACGAAAGACTAATAGTGGTCTCTTCTGGGAAGGACAGTCGAAAAACTTAGACAAAAATGGTTAATCTAGGCCGCTTGGAAAACGACAATGTGTTGAGAATATATAACAAAGCAGTAAAATGCACCGACGGCGTTCATCGGCAATGTGCACATAACGTGTAAGTGTTGGGGGTATGAAGCTGTGAAACCGTACAGAGTCATTAATGGTGCTAATGACGAAAAAGAGAGAAACCGACAACCACAGACTGGAATGTGATGGAAACCAACAAGCATCACGACGCGAATGTGATGAAATGACGAGTAAGTGAGCGGTAGAATAGAAATATCAATTACACAAAGCCTCATCGTGCACAGTCCTCAAGAACTGACCTGAAACAAAGTTTGCCATCCGGAGACACCGCCAATGCATAGCACGCAGGAGCAGAGAAGTTGAGTTCACATTTGCGACGTGGACTGGGAGAGCCCAGATCCCAAACACTCAAAATGCTGGACTCACCACCGACCAACAAGGTGCGCCCATCCTAAAACGGACATAGATGAGTCAAGTAAGCTTTCGAAAAGATGACGTCAGTTGATTTCATAGGTAGTTTTAAGTACGCGGTACAGGTGCGCAAGCCTTTAAGTTCTAATGAGTGCTGAACCGGCCCAACCGGCAGTCATTTGGCTCGATGATCGAAAAGCCCGACGTTCAATGCTGACGATCAGGTAGTTAACTTACCCACCCATATGTCTACTCTCCAAAGGTCACTAACGGACCACTGGACAAGCGTAAGTTATTATTTTCGCATCTGACTGCATACCGACTATCTATGAAGCATACAGCTGCGAGGATCAATGTTCCGGTCTGTTGTCAATGCTTCCATAAAGTGGCCACAGACGTATACGATTAACCAAATCTGGATCATAAAAACGATGACCATGTTCAGCGGGATGTTTGCAGTCACAGATTCAATGGTGACAGACAATGGAGTTCAGATTACAATTTTTGAGTATGTTCAGTTTTGCGCTTCAAAATTTTTGTAGACCGCACTACGTTCCGCGATCCCAAAATCTGACTGAACTAGGGCTCCTAAAGCTGGGAAGCAGCAGAAACATCAAGCTAAACGTGCACATCTTTTTGCGGTTATGTTGAGCTATACTCAGTAACTCGATGTCAAATCAGCAGTCTCCATCCAGGGTACCCTCTATGGAGAATAATACGCTTTCCTTCTGCCGCAATGCTGTCCACAAAACGCAATTTTAGGAAAAACAGCCACATTAAGAGATTACTCAGTCGACATTTCTTCGGTCCCATTGGGCCGGGGTAGTTGTACAAGGTGTAACCAACTGCATGTGCGGTACTGTCCCAGGTCCTTTTGTTCCCTCCTGTGCTTAACATGAAAACGATCCTGAGGAAACCGATGAGACCAAAAACAAAGTTATTCCCTTCCCACCACCCCGGTACGATATTCTTCACGTTCTAAGTCACATATTAAGAGGCTTATTATTATCAATCCCCGATTTAAGTTATGTGATTGCTTTTTTTAATTTAGGGATGTTGTTTTGTCATGTGGCCAGTCGGCTGTTTCTTGACGTACGCATCCCACCCCTTTAATTAGATCCTTTGCTATAATTATTTTTGTGTTCTGTCACGTGGGTTCATGAGTACGTTGGGCACAAAGCATCATCGATTATGTGCCTTTTACTTGCGAAATTTCCTTGATTAGCAAAATGCCCGTTGAGTGCAACACCGTGCTGTTCGAATTAAGCAGTTCAGACGAAAGAGTCCTTATACAACCTCCAGCAGGCACGTCAAGTAATAATCGAACCAACCAACGAAGTGATCAGGATCGTGGAGCACAACATACAGCCCTTTTGCTGTGATACCCACCACCATTCCTTTCGCGCATGAATGATTTCATCAGCTGCATCCCGAAAGAATAGCTCGCATGAACCGAAAATAATAAACCCAGCACTTCTGTGGAATTTCACCGAATCTCCGACTTACTTGTGTCAATTTGATGGACCGCACATATTTGTCTCTTTGCAGACAGTCAAGGCTGGCGAGACAGTGCTTCGGCTGCGAGAGAGACCCATTCGATCCAGGCGGGCTGTTTGCCCCGGGAGAGGAAGCGCATGAAGTAGCTGCATGAAGATCCCACAGTTTCACACTTCCCTTACCCCCAGTGTATACGTGACGAGTTGAGTTGTTGATGGTCACTGCACATACGACGTCCCCATGGTCAAAACAGTGAATCGGCTTGGCTTGAACAGGCACGCCCGGGCTGTAAAATGCTTCCGGTGGGAGGGGAACCGGGGTGGGGGGTTGATTGTCCAACAGGAGAAACGAATAGGGACTGTGCAAACACAAAATGGGATAAGAAAAACGAGCGCTTGATCAGTAACAGCCGACAACGGCAAGTGGGCAAACAACCCCCTTACGAGAGAAGATATATTGACATGCGATAATCGTGGTCTGAGATCCACACAAACTGGCTGCAGTGGTGGGACAGATGTACACACCCTAAATACCCTAGTTCATCTTGCGCCTATATTCCTATGCTCTTAGCGCAGGTAACGGTGGACGAACGCAGAGAAGTAAATTGCAAGGTGTACACCCGCCTCTCATACCGTGTGCTCCGTGTGGGAACGGCGATGGTGGTGGTGAGGGACTCCATCAACGCAGTGGTGGTGTGCGTGAAATGAAGAGTCATTCAGAATGGAACACGGAGACAAAGGTCGAGAGTAAGCAACTCGATAGTTTAGCCCAGTTCGGGTGGGTGGGGCAGTGTGAACAAAAAACCGCTCGTGAGTGGACTAAGCCATTCAATGGGACCACATGAACCCCCACTCTAAAGACGTTTGTATCACGTACAAGACAAGCATAACAACCTGCGCTGCACAGACACTTGGGGACTAGGTCGAGCGAATGCACGCATACTTTCAGACTGAGCTAATGAGGCTAGGCTTGTGTTATGGCGACCACGACAACCAGTGTGCGGACAAACGCATGTGCATGTGTGTGTCTGTGGTGCTTCAAGCTAAGAATGTGGAGGGAGGGGATTGGTGAGTGGCTGGGGCGGTAACAATGTTGTAATTAGTCGGTCGACCGGAGACTCGTTGTCAAGTTGCAATACTGTGGGGGAGGGGGGACTGTACCGAATGGGGTGGATGATATAGAATGCAGGTAGAATAGGGACAAACGCGCATATGGATTGTCCGCTTGTCGTAAAGCCCAGCAGGGGTCGCCCACGGGGTAGAGCGAAGCGGTACGAAGAAAGCAAAGTCAACCAAATTCGCTAGTTAGTCGGAAATCCGGGCCACTTAGAAAACTGATGTTATCGCTCGGATATGCGCAAAATGACTGGAGACAAAGGTAGTGGAAGGATCTCCAAATATGAGTAATGGCTTGATAGAGTGAGGTGTTCGCAATGCAACGCATTTGGGAAACCATGAAACTTACGGTCTTCCAAGGCTGGGGATACCCGAGAGAGAGGGAGTGCTGTAACCAGCATCAAACATCATCTGGGGAAGGATAAGAGAGACAAATAAAAAGATCCATGAGTACATGCTGCAACGCAGTAAAGGAGCACGTAAGTTCGACGCATCGGAGTAGAAACAACCAAGTTGTCAACATCTGGGATGAGTCCGGTATGATGCATTCTAACCTAACCGATCGCCTTGGATGGATCGTATCAAATACTTTAGCGGAAAGATGGGATGCGCATGACTTGTGTTATTGAATTCAATTGCATCCTAATAGATAACCAGGTCAGAGAATCAAATCACCCCGAATGAGTCTTTCTATTTAACCAATATGTCTGGTATGTCTTCGTATGTGCCTCCAGAGTGGGTGGAATTACACGTGTCGTTCGACTGGTAAATAACTGGCATAACTAAACTTACTAACCGGCTTGAAGCCTGGCGATGATGAGAATCCTATCCGCCTGCAATTTGTGCACATGGAAAATCCTAGGTCTACGATGCCATGTCAAAGGAAATTAGGATAACACAAGCAAAGAATATGAAGTAATAATGCTCAAAATCGAGGCCAGCCACACGGCAAACGAATATTGTTATCACGCGTCTGGGGTAAGCACTCCATTAAGGGAGGGATGAAAGACCACCATACTTTTGGTGTATCACGGAGATTAGGTTAACCGAATAAGTGGTCATGAGCCACGAGCAGCTAGGATGACGCGCCCCAAGAACCCAAGAATCACTGCACGCCAAATTCGGTTGGGACAGACAAGCTTACTGAGGCCGTACTCAGCAATGAACATATGTCACGTAAACACTTCCCAGCATTTTTAAAAGATGTCTTAATGAGATCGACACGATTACCTATCTAAAGATGACTTGAAGTTAAAATACACCGATAGGTGTGTAACTCTTCGAGTTCCGTGCTCGGGGGTTGAACACCGCGCAAGATACTATGATTTTACGTCGAGCCATCCACAAATTTCTGTGAAGACACATCAGGACTATCTCTAGAAGTTTACCGGTACACCACCTTACAGAAAATGCCAGATCACCCCCAACTAGAAAAGTTGCGGTTTTCGTCTACTCCTGTTCCACCGGTTGCCTTCGCAAGAACGATGGGGAGTGCGAAGGATGAGACGAAGAGGAAACCTAATGGCACACGGAGTCGTCGGATGACTTTCAAGTTACAGATAGGCTGCACTCGGATTTCCGTACTTGAGTCCGCAGGATCCGCTGCACCGGTGACGCTCGAAATAACTATGAACATTCAATCGTGTAGTAGATATTTTGAACCAGTTCCCAACTTTTCTAATCCGTATAAAACCTAACGTCTAAAAACCGGCAAAGATGGCACGAAAATCCGGATAACAAGAAATTTCTCTTAGAAACTGTTGCCCTTCTTGGCATTCAAACCTAAGGACTTGAGGGATCACTGAGATCGGGAAAGAAGTCGCCGTACACACAGTCCTAAAGACATTTGCATACTTTTCGAGTGTTCGATTCCGGAAAACGCACCTGATGTGTGAAGAAAAAGAAGGCATCAGCGGTTCTATTCTAACTAAAACGAACTTCTAGATTCAGTGTCTGCCATACTTGGATGTATTTACCACCCGACTTAGCAACACATATAGCAACCGCTCTAAGCAGGTCATCCGAGAAGGTGGAAATTGTGTCAGCCTAAACGGGCCCGAAACATTATCTAATGATCGAACAATTGATATCGTAAACAGGAGGATAGGACACCTGAACATATTATAGTGACGAGTGGGGAAAACCTACCGGTGGGAAAGTCGCTGGTGGAAGAACAGGCAAATTTGATGGTAATGGTGGCCCAGTGGGCATCATCATCGAACCACTGGAAACAGCTGCCGCCGCTGCAGCCGCCGCAGCAGCAGCTGCTACAGCAGCGACAGCTGCGGCAGTTGAAGACGAGGGGGAAAAAGGTGGTTGAGGTGGTACCGAATGAAGTCCACGTGATAAGTTCGGAAATCCTGACTCTGGACCGTTTGTTTCAGCATCGAAGGTAGAACCTATAGACGCACCAGTTGCAGTCACTGCAGCGAGTGACGTGGTGAGCAGACCACCATTGTTTGCTGGGAGAGAACTCGGGTTCGTAATCTTATCCAACGGGACCGAGCCGGGGATATTAGGAAGGCTGTTTGGAGTGAGTGGGTAGACATCGGTGGAAGGTGTAGCGCCGTCCGAAGTGAGGTGTGGTGGAGACAAAGAGACTGCACTGACGCCCGGAAGATTAACCAAACCAGAGGTAAGTGAATTCGAGACTGGACTGGTGTTGGCAAAGTCTGTGAGTCGAGAATACAATTCAGGGTGGGGAATGATTAGACCGGTGTAGGCGGAAACGTAGGCACTAGAAAATTGCGAACCAAGCTAAAAGCGATTCGCAGCGAGCTTTAACAGGGATCAGTCCGGGTTTTGGAGCGGACATGACTGAGGCACCCGCCGATTGAAAACAGTTGCAGCAGTCTTCTGCTGCCAGGTCAGGTAGCACAGGTAAAACACAAAAGGATAGAAGAACGGAATTTCCAAATCAAAGATATACACTCAGAAGTACAAACACGATCAAGCTAAACAAGTCATCAATGGCGAAAACTCAGTGACTTCTGCGCGTCGTATCGTGGTTCGAGCACACGCCCTGCTTTTTACTGAGCCTAAAAGGTATCCTACGATCTCATTTGGCGCTGCCTGTATCGATCGTTAACAGACGGTCAAGTCAGCGCACAAGCCTGATGATGACTACCAGCTGTTGTCGGGTCTTGAGGTAGGGACGAAAGTGATGGTGGTAGGAGGAGGTGGGGGAACGATGGGCGCATCTCTACTATTGCAAGGGTGGCCGAAATCGTGCATGAAATCAGTGTAACAAGAACAGTTTTGCGACGACGTGGTAGGAACTCGATGCTTGCCCATAAGATGGTTTAGTGGTTCATTCAGGAGAGGGCATCATGTGTCAACCAACCTAACAACACTAACAGAGCAACACCCTGCTTCCTATAGTGGTGGGATGCGAGTGACAGTATCAAAAGCCTAGAGGAACATGAGGGAGAATTGTTAGGTGTGCGCCGGAAGGGTGGGAGGAATGCGGTGAGTTGTTAAGATAGCGAATGCACAGGCCACGTTTTCAGTCGAGAGACAGTTGACACACCCCGTTTGTGTGTGACAGCGGCCGCGGCCATTTTGGGGTGGGGATAGTGGATGGATGGAACAAACATGCCTCAAAATGAACATGCATGGGGGGGCACAACAACAAACAGGCACACATATTCGGCTTATTTGTTCTGCGTACGTGCGCACAATAAAACCGGCTGACTGACCAAATGATCGAAGTATCAAATTAGTCCTTCCGGAAGGTAGACGAATAGATGGTGTGTGAATGTATGTCGACTTGGAACCGAACCCTTACTAGTTGCACAAACAGCAGTCACAACAGCACACATTTGGAGGCGAGAGATAAGGCAGCGGCGGCTGCTGCTGGCCGATTGAGACTCGATGCGAAATTGACGTGCACAAACTAGCGCGTGTTCGGCGCATTCATATGAATCGGTCCGTGTGTACTGGGGGGGGGGGGGCATGCGCACAATAAAACCGGCTGACTGACCAAATGATCGAAGTATCAAATTAGTCCTTCCGGAAGGTAGACGAATAGATGGTGTGTGAATGTATGTCGACTTGGAACCGAACCCTTACTAGTTGCACAAACAGCAGTCACAACAGCACACATTTGGAGGCGAGAGATAAGGCAGCGGTGGCTGCTGCTGGCCGATTGAGACTCGATGCGAAATTGACGTGCACAAACTAGCGCGTGTTCGGCGCATTCATATGAATCGGTCCGTGTGTACTGGGGGGGGGTGAGCATGGCGATTTGTGACAACAGAGAGGAGCTAAGTCGGACAAGTCCCGTTGTCCTATCCACTGGCGGTGGTGGTGGAGTAGGGCGGATGGGCAAAATCGATCGTGTTTTAGTTAGGAGTGGTGACAAGCCAAAAGGACGGGGGTGGGATGACGGTGGAGTGTAACGTCCGTCACAAACCCTTCCGCCTCAAGCTACGACACAAATAGACACACACACAAAGCAGAGACCTTAGAGCTTAAAGAACTCCAAGCTAGTCGGATGAACTGTCAATTTGGTAGGATCAGTTGTTGGGCCATGGCGGCGGCGGCAGCAGCGATGAATGGGGTGATGGTGGTAGGATGATGATGGTGTGCAAGAAGCAGGGTGGTGAGTGAGATAACATGACTGGAGAAAACGAATGTGAAGAGGGTGGTTGTGGTGGTGGGGATGATGGCGCACGCGGTGTATTGAAGCAGGAAGAACGACCAACAGTGTAAAAAGCAATGGCAACCATTAGGATAGTGTAGGGTGTGTGGCGGGTTGGAGTGGTTGACCGACGGGTGCTTTAGTTACGTGTGGATTCACTGAATGGTACATACACATAGGTATAAACCCTATCATTCCCAGGTCGACAGAAAAAAAGAAACGCTGTTCTCATGGCATTTTGTGTGTGCCAACGGGGTGCAAACAGAGGATACCAGATGTTGAAAGGATGTATGGTGGAGGTTCGAATTGCGCGTGGTAAAAGTGATTTTGTCCTCTTAAGAGCGTGTATTGGTTACTAGCAGGAGTCATCGGAAAACTGTCCTCCATTCTGGTCCGGTGCGGGAGAGATAAGGTAATCATTTCATAGATTAATGTCATCTGCCTGATAAAAGCACGGTTGTAATCCGGACAACAAATTTTCAGTTCACCGAACCAAACTCACAGGATGGCAACTGAACAAGAAAACTGCCACCTGCTTGCATATGTTCAACCGTCTGGTAAATGTATCCAGAAAAGGACCATGGAGATTATTCTCTACATCCGGTCATCTGTTTCAACATTTTATTTTTCGGAGAAGTATATGTGCATTTGGGAGGAAGACCACATTGAGGACACCTTTAGATGATTTGACAAATAAGCCAAATAGGGATGGATTTTTGGTTGAGAATGTGCAATTCTATTCCGACCCACAGCGACTTGTGAAGTAGGCTTTAAATTGTACGTGAATATGATTGAAAAATATTCGGCAGACGAAGGCTGGATGACACTAGATCAAATGTATTCCGGCACAGATCCCCAAGACTCTGTCGGGCATTTCCAACTGTTCAGTGACCTGAGCGTCCCTAAGTCAATTGTGAATGCTCTTTTAATTGACTAAACAGGTATTTAAAGGTCTTTTTCTTGAATAATATCTAGTCAGTTCAGATCAGCTGGGGCTCGGTTACAGAAACAGCCCCGGGGAACTACTGGACAAACCAGTCTGAAACGAATTTATCCCTTAAGAAGCCTTTCTGGCGCTCACCCGGCAATTTGTCTTCATCGTTTTCCGGCCAAATAACCTATTGTGTCATTTCCCGACAACTTGAGGAGATGGAACATAGTGTGTGAGTGAAATTACACGTAAATTAAATGGTCTGTTTGACGTGGTAGCCTGCATGGTAAATATATGCGGATGCTTTGGAAATGTTTAGGCCGGAGCAACAGGCATATGGGCATGCATTTCAATGTCTACTTTAGTCTCGACCAAAGTGATGTCTATGAGAGTTATCATCTCAGGTTCATCGGATGGCTGAGCCAGAACACAAGGCTTTAGTAACCAAACGCTCTTCATCACTCTGATCGCATCTGCATCTACCTAGCATAGCACCCGGTAATTCGATTGTCCAGTTAAAACCGATCACTTGCACCGATCAAGGAGAGCTTCGACACCAAGTTGGGTGTGCACGTTTGTCGCAACTTACCTGCAATCTACCTCGAGCTGGCCCACGTATCGAATCGCCTCGCCACTAAAACCAGGCTGTAGAGGCGTCGGACAAAGCTAAGATTCGAAGGGACCGGCTAGGTGACTCATGAACTCCCGATCATGTCAGGAACCTCGGTCGAATTAGATCTTCTTGAGTCGTATGTGGTTATGCCATTCCAGTATTTGGTTTAGGTTGCGGGCCTTCTATCCAGACACATACATAGATAATGAAAACAGAAACTTTTCCAATAGAGCCGAGTGGTCCACAAAAGTGTGCCACCACAGCTTTCATAGTAAGGATGATTGAGAACACTGTTGCGAGGAACTCAAAAGCTTGACTTACCTGCAGTTGAATTAGATGGCAATTTATTCACTCCCATTGCGAGGGATGAGGGAGAAGCGGGAGCTTTGATGAACGTGTTAGCTTTTGATGGAACAAGATCATTCACCCCATGTGGACTGGGGGTTACCCCACGACTTTCTGAGCCATTTGTAAGACTGTTTGCACTTAGTGTTGGGGGACTGTCATTAGATTCTTTTCTCTCTGCTTCCGTTACAGGTTCCGAAACACGTGGTCCGTGTTCAAGGGCATTATTGATTGAGGGAGTTTTGGAAGCAGCGCTTGACTTGGCTGATGGTGTGTGACATCGAGTGACTGGGGTGCCAGGCGCAGCTTTACCTCGAGTCTATGGTGCGAATGGACGGGGACAGAAACAAATGTCATCAGTGGATTTTACGAGCGTTACAAGAAGAATGAGAAAGACTTCGTAAATACACACTACAAACTCACCGCCGATCGATCACGGACCAGTTTATCGTTCCATGCGGAAGAAAATGAGTCCTAAAAAAGAGGAGTAATTCCGATGTCAACATAACTAAATTGTAATACAATATAATAATTATATATAATAAAAATAATATAATAAGCTACCAAATTACTGAGACAAAAAGCTTACCAAGCCATTTTCTTCACTTCCAAACATGTGATTGTTGGCCTCGTCTGAGGTGGGCTATGAAGGGGGCAGAACGGCAAGTAGGGTAAGAGCACAAAAAACAACCCAAACAATACGAATGTCTAAATTTGAGGTATTCATCTTTACCCGATCGGTCCGCCGACGTTTCTCGTCCTGATGAGCATGTAAATCATTTGGTCCGGGAGAGTAGGAGCTTGGACGCTGTCGGTGACCTGAGTTGGCAAGAGGTGTTGAGCTTTTAGGAGGCGGCAGCCCGTGGACGGAACTTGGAAAAGGAGAACCAAAGTTTGGCATCATGTTTGCAGTACTTGTAGCTGAAGGAGGTAAAAGGCTGTTGCTCAGCCCACTGTTTGGCCCGCTTAAAAGATGCTGAGGACCTGTCATTGCTAACGCAGAGTTGGGTAATCCTGTTGAGGAGTCTGGGGCAAGACCAGCGGCAGCAGCTGCAGCAGCGGACTGTGCGGCTGCAAAACTGGCCATAGTTGCCATCAAACTGTGTGCATCCATCACTGATGCGGTGGAAGATCCACCAGGTAATCCTGTGCCTGATGGCGGTAATCCAAAAGCACCGGCAGAACAACTGGCAGCTGCGGCGGCCATCGCCGCTGCCATGGCTGCGGCTGCAGCGGTCCGCTGAATGAAAATCAAGCAAGCAATTGATCAGCTACAAACCGTGCACCATAGGTGAAAAGTGATAACAGCCAAGTCCTATCCGTAGCGGAAATGTACTCCGTTAATATAAGACAAACAAACAGCTTGTATTCTAAAAACTTTTTATGCTCTAGTTGCTCTTGCGGAAGTAAAAGGTAGGATGTATAAATGACAGCTTAAAGAAGGCAATGGTTTCTTGCGCTTTTTACTACCGAAGCCAACGACTTTTTGGTTCAAACCCTTTCGATGAGTGAATTCGCACTCAGTTTCATTTTCGGCGTCAAACATCCATGAGAAAAACAAGCATTTGAGAGTTGTGGGTTAGGTAAGTCATGAGTTATTGAGATGGTAGGAAACGAGATTACACTTCACGTCAGTTGATGAGTTTCAGATGGCTGCACAGTTAAAACACATTGTGACTTGGTTGTTCATCTTGTATAGGTTTAGGCTAGTTAAACTGGAATTTAAACAAGGACAGACCCGATTGTGGAGTGAAATGCTACTCAGATAGGCCGCTTCCCTATTTAGGTCCATAACAACCTTCCAAACACAACTTAATCGTAACTGGCTCCGCAACTAGACCATGAAGAACAAACTAACCGAATCACCTCTGTTACAGTGGCCGTCCTTAAGAAATGAATAATACGGTGTTCGAAAGTAGGGGGCAGAATGTCTTACAAAATGAACACATATCTTGTTTGTCCTCTGCTATATCGATATGTTTTCGCATGACGCGTCCCTATACAGTTTCCCTAAAATAGAGTAATCCAGCCCATCAAGCATACCGAAGAGATGCGACATCGTCACAAAGAGCACTTATAAGTTCCCCTCGAAATGCAGGATAAAGTGACGTTTTTCCAGTTCTATCAGTCTACGGGCCAAACAACTTGTTGGCTGAGTTGAAATGATAAAACCTAGTCTGAGAACTAGTCTCGCACATACTTTCAGCGTCAAGCTACTGATTGCGCTCAGCGAAATTTCTCAATGCGAAACAACAGCTCATGCGGATAGGCATAGTCGGTCATTAGGAACACACCCAGTTGATCTCACTTGTTTAGGTAAGTAGGGAACCAAGTTGGTTGACGGTCAGAAAGACGGATAAGGAAAATAGGTGAACGTGTCCGAATGTCAGAGCTTCAGGACAGGACAGGAAATAAGTGTAGGGATGTATAACAGGAACAGTAGGTTCTGGACTGTGATAGAGTAACTTACCTGTATTCAGCCCAGTCAAGAACGGTTCTACATACAGCAGGTGATGCAATTTCAAGTTTACATCGCCAGAACTAAGACAGAGTGAGCGCTTGCGCTGGTGCAATTATACTGGTCAGTTCATACCAAAGGGTATTGGACTCGAGTTTTGCGCTTATTAGGGTCCATTATTAGTGCTGGAATATCTGGCATACGAAACGAGTGCATAACCAGAAACTCCATTAGCACGTGCCGTGCAAACTTGAGCAAGAATTGGTATTCAGGCTTTGGTTTGCCCAGCGTCTCGGATTCGATGATCCAGGTGTGTCAGGTATCAGTTGCGTAAGTAGTGGTCACATGCTTGCCTTGCATGTCAAACGTATGGACTCTACTATGCAAGGAGCCCGATTGCAGTGTTTTCCTATTTGGTGTGAGCTCACTGGGATAATTGTACCAGAATAGCAGGAGAATCGTCTAAACGAAGGTGATGTGAATGTAGATTTCAAGTTTTCTAGGAGAATACCCAACATTCTTAAATCTAAGGTACAAATAGACAGGATAGAGTGAAATCGACAAATCCAGTGACTACATGGAAATCGCTATTCGATGAACACCGAGCGGTATTTGCCTAAAAGTGGGATTAGCATCCAACGATAGACAATTGGTACAACCTGAGAGCGATTAGAAACCAACTTTTAAGCACCAACACCGTTTCCTCCAAGCATATCTACTCCCCTAAGTAGATACTGCATACAGATAAGAAAGAACGTGTTAGATGATTTATGTTCATTCTGCAGTTCGGATGAAACGATACAGGCGTACAAAATGAAGAGTTTCCACAGAGGTAGCGCCAGTGAGCAAATTGTGCAGAAACTGCTCACAAGTATTGCGATAAGTTGTACGCCCCGTGTCATCAGACAGTCTCTTGTCAGGTACCAAAGGGGAATTCCCCCATTTGAGAAATTAGAAAGACTTCTCATGAGCCAGTTGTTGAGTATGATTATCATAACTGAAAATGACCGGGACATCCTGGGTACTCGAGCGTCAAGTGACGATATGCTGTCTCATTTAAAGGCACGAGATCAATTGTACACTCGCCTAGCTAGCGAGTCCATTAGTTCATATGATGGGGCTGAATTATTTTTTTTAAACAGTAAAATCAATATTGAATTCAAAGCAACTCTGGAACCATTCTGACTTTTGCCACATTTTGGCATATCCGATAATAGAGAGATGATCACAATCTAGGGGGAAAAACTGTCTGAAAGCTGCGACTAAACGATTTAACACTTTAGAGAACGATCCGTTAGATCGAGTTTAGTTAAGCGATGCTGCATAGCGTGGAGCTTTCAGTAGACAGCTTAGTCTTGCGGCTTACGTGCGAGGATTTGATATGCCCAATGTATAGGTTTGAAAATGAGTTTAACGCAAAATTAAAGCAGTTCTTTGCATTCCCCGAGGTGGGAACTAGACGAACAAGCTACACAAGTGTCTTATTCCATCGGTAGGAGGAATTGTATACTTGACCAATGGGAGGATGAGAAAACACAGGCGAACGGCACGTGCACACGCTCACAACTGCATGAGCCTCCCGGTCTGACTGGAGGCTCATCGAGTGTGGACAAAGCATAGCCGACCGACCAGCCGCCAGTCCCACCACCCTCATCACCTACCCAGTACTGGTGTCGTGTCGGTCCACCACCAACCTAGCCGGCATCGGCCGTAACGGACTAGCAATCACTTAGACGGATGCACGTTTTAACCTACCACCACCACCGCCCCGGACACGCACACACATGGCGTGTCACACGGGTAACACCACCCCAACCGGACGGACAAACATCGCAAGGTCTGTTGTGTGGGTTGGTACGCCCCATAAACGGACGGCCGGTGTGCGTTCATGCAAGAAGGGGGTGATCGCGATGATGGGGTGGGGAAAAGGATGAACGAAAGCTAAAAACAAGCGCTGGAGACAGCGAGTGATGGGTTGCCTGGTCGTACGATGGCAGACCGCCACACCCAGCATGCATACCATCTATCTCGTCAATCGACTACTAGTACTACCAACCATGCTACAGCCTATTTCGATCTAAAACCAAAGGCGGTCGTGGTTTTGATACACGGCTGCAGATGATGAAAACTTTGCTTGACCATAAGGCGGTCCGGTAGGAGTTGTAATTTGCTTTCACAGCACAACCACCAGGTCTGTTAGCTTTCAGTCAGGTCATATCTTGATCGCTCCCTCTCGGCTGTAAGCGACAGACTGAAAATTGGTTGTGTATTGCGTCACAGGCTCTGCGTGCCAAACACTCAACTCAGCAACGCAACATTTGCAATATACTCACCCTTTTGGAGACATTATTGAGATCTTATAAGCTCTATTCTATGCGAACCGAAAGAGGCAGAAACCCAGTAGTTGTGTGCGATATAGAAGACGGTTTTCGTCGGACCGCCTATTCACGTCTACATCCTATTCAACGTTCAACTTTGACCAGGATTGTGCCATTTTCAATCTCCATGCTGCGCCACTGTATACAGCACCTCACGCATCTCCGTAAACACCATCTTGCAGTTGCGGAGGTGGGCAAACAGATTCGCGAACAAAACCACGCCTCGTGGTCAAGCCTTATTCATACAGTCGGACGTTCTATCCGATTGGTCATCGATTCGCGTCGGAGACGGCCTGGTAGTCACCAATTTAAGGGCTTGGATCAAAGCCCGAAAAGTTCAATCAAACCAAGCTCTCTTCTCCTCCTTACTCATCGGGTGGGTATAGAAGCAATGGACACATGATGCTTTGATTAAATTTCAGACCACTTCCGCTGACAAATTTGACTGTGGGTGCGATTATTCGTTAAATAGCTGTTGTGACTAATGGACATGTGTCGTGTGAATAGTCGACGATTCTACTGCAGTATGTGATAACGAACCCTCTCTCTGCTGAGTCCCTAATGGAAACAACAGCTCTCATGCGATTCGGCAAATCAGGATCTGACCACAACTTTGCTTGTAGAAGATAGGGATGCCCTCCTATTACAACTATCTCCCTAGAGAGACCTCATGAAGGAGTGCAATCGAAGCGTGGCTTGGTTGCTAGCTTTACAAACGATTTCATACAACACTCCACAACAACACAACTTTCCATAGTAAGGCATCTGGTTTCACTGGAACAATGAAATTAAGACGGTCTGCGTTAGTCTGACTGGGAGTCCGAACGCGTACATCCGGTCCACACCGGAAATTAGGTATCTTCAACACATGTGTCCATAAGTAAGCATTCACAGTGCTATTCGAAGGGTACGCTTGCTGCGCATTATCGTGCTTGCAAGAACTGAACAAACTGAGCTTTACTAGGTGTTGCACAGGTCTTATTAGCCGAATTCGACTCGTCATACACCGCATTTGTTCCCTATGTATGACGTATCCTAACGTGCAATACGGCTGCAGACTAGAAATATCCTCCCTTCTATCATGCTAAGCATGGTGAGAACGAGAGTTCTTCCAGTTCGGTTGAGGTGAGGCACTGCTTTGGTTAAGCATCCGAGTACAAAATTCAATTGACTTAAGAAACAAACTATTAAGACAAGCAACTTAACAGGGACCAATGCTTGCAAAGGATTCCGTAAACCTATAGTTGTCATTCGGTGCTTTTTCTGGGTGTTGGAGGGTGAATAGAGGTTTGATCGACTGATATCTGCATTACTTGCAGCGCACCCTGAGTTTGAATGCACCTGAACTCTGCTGAACTGACCAGAATAATTGGATCAGAACGAGAGTGATACAAGGATATGAAA